AATCCGGTATTACCCGACAGTGACCTTATTTCCCGAAAGTATCCGATAGAACTGACAGAAAAAAAATTCGACTGCCATGTTATAAAAAGCGAAAAATAACCTTTTACGACCTTAGATATGAACATGAGCCCATTAATTCACTGTAGATTAAAAAAAAAAAATTTCCGACCGACCGACCGGGAATTTTGAAATCCATGTAATGCAAGAAAACTTTGCGTGGTCTTATGATTACAGTTTTTCTAAACATTGGAATATTCCATTGTCTTTTAAAATGATTATAATCCTTCAATTTATGCAATGGCTCAAAGTTTTTATTCATATTATCGAGCCATTTGTTATTATTTGGATTCATTATATTTTCTTCAATAATTTTTTTGTTGGGCTCTGGATTCAGAATTGTAAAAACTTTTTGTTCAAATAAATAATCAGAGTTATGGTCTTTCGAAAGAGCATTAAAATAAAGTCTACAAGCTTTTTTGGTGCAATTACATTTTCTTGATTAATTTTTATAATTTTATTTAGATTTTCATTCTTTTTTTACGTTATTATTAATGGAAATTTGGTTACGGCAATCGATGTATATTTTTAGAATATTTGTTTATTGAATTTTATGTCTTTAAAAGAATCTTTAGGTTTGTCGAGATTGCAACGATCGATTTTCATTTTGAAAAATCGAAGATAAATCACTAAATCAATTAATATTTTATAAATATTATTATCATGGTCTAATCATGATGAATTGACAATATCACATGATTTTCGAAAGTTTTTTGGGTGGCGATTTTACCCGGGTCTGATGTTAACCGAAGACGAATTGTCAAATTTGCAGATCATTTGGCCAGATCTAGAACAAAACAACTTTAAATTTGGTCAAATGATCTGCAAATTTGACCAGAATAATGAGTGATGATTTTATTGATCATTTGATGCGAATAACCGTGTTTTGTTTTTCTTTTAAACCTTTGCAGTGTCCCATCCCTCCTACACGTCACTTGTTTGGATATTTGATTGAATTACAGAATTATTGGTTAAATAATTTATCGGCTATGACCGGTTATTTGACCGTATAACCGATCGCGGTTGACCGGTAATAACCGACGACCGAACCCATCCCTAGTCTCGTTCTTTATGGCGCCTTGATTCTTTAATAATGAGATTTATGATGCAGTTACTGATTATTTTCACCTTTAGCTCGTGACAGTAACTTCATTTCAATTTGGCAAAATTTTTAAAACTTGAAAACACAAATATTTGATTATTAAAGCTGTAAGCAAACATAAAACTTTAATGAATTCACGAATAGCAATAAGTTAGTTTGAGATCAGTCAAACTTTTAACAATTAAACATTCCTAGCAGAGAGAGATAATTAGAAAAGGGATTATTAAATGTCTGATAGAAAAATAAAATATGAATAATAAGGTATTTGTGGGATCTCTGCGAAGAATGATGGGATTTATTAAATAAATTACAAAAAATTTACAACGGATATCCTGATCCAAGCCTTTTTTTTAAAAAAAAAAATTAAGATAAAATGTAATTAATAACAAAAATAAATAGAAATAATGCTACCATCCATATTAAGCTAAATTTGATAATTAAAAAAATTTTTTTTTTGTTTTTTTTTTTTTTTAAAAGATAATTAACAATCCAAGTTGACAACTAATTGACAACCAATCATGCAGTAGCTTCCGAACTCTTTGTCGCAGTGAGATCAACTTTTTCTTCAGAATTTTTAGAATCACAATTAGTATCCTTAATTCTTAATACCACGAGGAGGGCAAAAGGAATTGAGATTGCTAATAAAACCCAACAAATAATAAATTGGGCAATATAGGAAGTTCCAACAGCATCAATTCTCCAAGATATAGCACCGCCTGCGGATTGAACAGCTTTATAATAACTGTGTAATTGAAAATAATGAAAAAGAAAAAATAAGTATTACAATAAAATCCTAGATCCAAACAAATAAATTCAATCTTACCCAGAGTATCTTGCTAGCAAACTAGCATCGTTGGTAAGAGCGCCCATGATCCAATACGCGTAGCACTGATAAAATAAAAATGAATGAATTAGTACATATATTCATAAATCTTAACATATACTGTATATATTTGAATATTTATAACTTTTTATATATTCGAATATATTTCGAATATATTTCGAATATATTTCGAATATATTTCGAATATATTTATAAATATAGCATATTTAAATACAAGTAACTATAATGAATGAATAAAAAAAGAATGAAAGGGACAAATGTTACCTGAAATATGGCATCAAATAGACCGTAAGCAATATAGAGTATTATCTTTGTAGCATAACCAGAATCATATAAATCCATATGAACAAGTTCATCTTCACGCTTATAAGTTAATTGGAAAAACAGACCACCAATCCAAGTAGCCATTAATACAACTGTAAGAATAATGATTCCTAAAATTCCACGAGTTCTTCTGCCGAATATTGACCAGTCAAGAAATCTTCCAAAGAATAAAGCACCAAAAATTTGAGCAGTCCAATACCATAAAGAGTTAAATGCTCTTGTTCGAATGTCAAAATAAAATGCGTTTACACCATCAAACTGAAATAATTCATTTAATAATGAGTCAAGTATTTGATAATGATGATAATAATAAGTCGAATATTTTGATAGTAAATAAAAAAATTTTTTTTATGAATATTTAAATTGTACCTGATATGCGTAAAACCAATTACTGGCGATAAACATAGGAAAAAGTGCAATCATTCTCCAATCTATGAATACTTTTGCCATACCAACAAGTTCTTCTTCCCATTTAGGAAATTTTTGGATAGAAACATGTTGACCATCATCACGAATAACCTTATTAGGTGGAAGTAAGGTCATAGCTAACAAAGAACCAAATGCCATAAGAACCATGAAGCCAATATAGGTTCCATCATTAACAGATCCCGCCGTTGAATTCCAATTAAGACCAAGTGGAACGATAGAGCCAAGAACTCCACCTATATCAAACGATGATTGAAAAAAAACAATCAACAAATAATTTTTTATACAATGCTTGTAAAAGACATGATAATTAATATATGTACCAAGATTAAAAATCACCCAAAATAATCCAATAAATCTTCCTTTATCAGCTTCAGAGGGATATGATAACATAATTGCACCTTGACCCGTCCATAGTAATGCGGCACCTAAACATTATATATAATTATGTATTAATAAGTCATTTTATCGTCTTACATACTGTACAAACTGTACAAAAATTGTTTAAAAATATACCTAGCCCAAGAATTGCGCCTGAAATTATAGGAAAAGCACTTTCTTGCAGATGATTATAATAAAAGAGCGAACCCGAATACAAAGCATAAGTTAAACCACCAAGAGCCAAAGAAATAGATGGGCCAATTTTATTAATGACTGGGCCAGCAAAAAGTCCTCCTACGGAAAAACACGTATATAAAGCCACATTTGCATTAGAAGCAACTTCCGTATTAAGCTGTCCACCACCACCCATCCCTACACAAGATATTTTAGTTTCAAGAATACAGAATACATTATTAACAGAAATATTAACAGAAAAATTGATAGATTTGTGAAAAATTACCATTCAAAGCATTAAACATTCCAGAGGTGAGAAAACATATTAGGCCTTTAATGGAAGTAAAAGAAGGTAAATGGTAATAAATTAGATAATAAATCAAATGAACAAATCATGTTAAGACACTTAAATCCTAATTACTATATATCTTACCAACAATTATTACTTGCACTAGAGGACTCGAATAACGCAACATTTTTACAAAAAAAAAATTAAAATTGAATTTGAAATTTTGTCAAAGACAAAAGGACCCTAGATATATTTATAATCCTAATTCAGATAAGTTTAACTTAATTGTCGGCGGATAACAAATAAGAAGTGCAGCTAGCAGTTTCTAGATTAGTACGGACTTTTATTACATTAGAAGAAGTGATCTAAGACCCAATTTTCAAGATCGAAGTGTAGTGTAAAAGAACTTGAATAAATTTAGCGAGATATTCTTTGAGACGTTTATGTAATCACTTTAAAAAAATAAAAAAAGTATATCTAACTGGAAATTTTTTCACTATATATAGATTTGAATAATTGGAATATCTGGATTATCCGGATACAAACGAATAAGGATAATGCAGATAATTGATTGACATATAAGGATATCACTTAAACATCATCCTACATTCAACCAATCAAATTAATTAGATTGAAAAAATATATACATATATATACATAAGATAAGTATCTAGACCATCCTTGAATCACTAGTTAAAAGATAGCGTATCATGATCTACTGAATTGTGTAATATCTTCAATGTTAACCGAATTTAATTAAACTCCTACTTTAAATGGAATAATAAAAGATAAACTAGGTTATGTAATTTCACTGAAAATCATTTCTTTGCCAATAGCATTTTTTTCTACGGATAATCTTTACAAAAATAACGATTGAATGAAAAATTTGAAAGAAATGATTACCACGTGAATTGATTTTCAGAGGCAATCATCAATTTGATAACTATTTTTCGACTCATTCCAGAATCGACATTGAAATTTTGGTTAATTTGCTTGGCATCTTTTAAAAGAATTTTGTGATTTACGAATTGTTATTGGTAGTTGACATTTTAAAGGGTCATCATACGAAAATAAAAACCAGATTTATAGATCACTTATAGCTGTGCGACATAAAACCGAAACGTACCGTTAGATTAACACTATAATTTGGGTCCGTATAATTCCGACATTACGCCAGGTGAAATTTTGTAAAAATATACCTGCAACTAATCAAATGCTTAACCCTAACCCTATGTGATGTCGGAAAAATGTGCATTCGGTGAAATGGTTGTCGGTAAATTGATCGGAACCGCTATAATTGTATACACGTATGTTTTTTACTTTTTCAAATGTATTATTTTTTTCAAATTTATGTTAATTATTAATGAAAATATATAATAGAACAAACTCCAGATATTGCATAAAGCATTTAATAAACATCGTTTTTGATTTTTTTTTTCAACCTTCATATTAATTAATGTTGTACTAAGGGTGTTCTCAAACGCCTTCATCAATGGGTCAAAAGTGTCGGTGAATAAATTTTACTTAGCGGAAAATATTTTAAAGGA